AGCTACCACCCCCTAAAATTATGCCCACCAGTAGCCGAACACCCTGTATAGAATGAACACTGTAGTACGTGCCGGACCCCTTAGGAAGCGACGAACTGGAGCAGATTTTACTGGTAAAAGCCTACAAGATTCTTACAAGGAAACATATCGAACCGCGACACACCGATTTTAATGAAACTTATGTGAAAGATAGTTCTCAAGAAAATATTTGACACGTATTTTTTTTTATCGGCCATCGTTCACATTGAAGGGGTGAAAATAGCCCTCGAAGTTGGGGGTTGGAATCATATTTTTGGGAATATCTCCGGAATTAATGAAGATAATTGGATTCTTTTTTTTTGTAAATTGTTCGTCTTTAGATAGGAAATGTTTGTGCGAAAAAAAATGTCAAGAAACTTTATTTGTTTGGAAATAAATAAAGTGGAAAGCTATTGACAAAATTGTAATTATTATAACATGTACTATTGTTATTATATGTATATATGGAAGATGTTTATAGATGTAGACATAGTATTAATAACTTTAATAATCTGTAAAAATAATAATTATTAACAGTGCAAGCAAAATTTTTAATCACGGATGGATCCCGACAAATCTATCGTACGACGCCCCTGGCACACAGCGTCACGTGGGCAGTCTAGCGCGGGAGTGGGAGCACGGTAGGCGTCTACTCCGAAATCCGCCCGAAAAGTGCAACTAAATCCGAGCACTGCTCTATGCTTTCCCTTGTACGGAGATGCCCACGTGTTCGTTCGATATATCGAAGTTTGCTCGACCGACGCTATCATTTCAAATCACGAAAAAACTGAAAAACTAACCACCGCGTGCATTCAATATGCCTCATTCGCCCTTTTCTCGTACTCTAATTCCCGCCTGTCATTTGCATTATTAATTTTATTTAATTTCTGCGACTTTCTCTCTCAACTTCGACATATCGCACGACCACGTTTTCCATATAAGCACTTTTTCGTGACATCAATAGTTCATGAGATATTACGCTGTCACACTTTGCCGCAGACACCCTGTATATCTTTCTTCATAACACCTTTTTTCTTAATTTTTTTTTTATTTTATCAAAAATAATTCCTAAAGAAATCCTATTTTTATCATAAATATGCCAACTTCTAATTATTTTTAATATTTATTAAAATTGTATTATAATTTATAATTTATTTAATCAAGTTGAATCAATTATATTTTTAATATTTTGTCATAAACATTAAAAGTAGTGGGGAATTAGAGTATTTCAAATTAAGTGTAGATAGAATTTCCTTCATAACTATTCACAAAAAATTAAAATGTTTGAAACAGAAGAGTAAAATGATAAAAAGGGTACTAATACGGGTTCGACGCGGTGACGTATAAAATACTGGTGAAGAATGTGATAAATGTGTTAGTGAGTTTTTGATGATGTGTAAAGATTATCCTATACCTATGTTACAGCTGAAATTTTAGGGTTCATATTTTTGGAACTACGATCCATTATTAAGTACGCTGAAATGCATCAGTAATATTTTTCAATGTACTTTTCATCCATATAAGCTATGCAAAATTTCATATCTATCACATGAAATCTATATACTATCTTTTGGTTTTTATGTAACTATCTGTCAACTATAGTTTTTTTTCCATAAAAATAAAAATTTTCTAGTGTCGTGTCGGATGGGCTGGAGACGGACTAGTCTGTGGTATAGATAGAGATAGTGATGGGATTCCAGATAGGAATCTTCGCTGCCTTGATCGACGGTGTCAAATGGATAATTGCCCAACAACACCAAATAGTGGCCAAGAGGATGCAGACCACGATGGTATAGGCGATGCATGCGATCCAGATGCTGACAACGATGGCGAACCAAATTCTTCAGACAACTGTCCTTTAGTTCCAAATCCGGGTCAGGAAGATACTGATCTAGAGGGTCCAGATTCAGTTGGGGATGCTTGTGATAACTGTCCGTTGGATAAAAATCCTAAACAGGAGGATACAGATTATGATGGCATTGGTGACGCTTGTGACGACGATATTGATGACGATGGTAACAATTCATACATGAATTTAATTTCTTAGTTCGTAAACGTAAATGACTATGAATTTTCTCAAATGATCATAATATAGTAATAGTTTAAATGTCTAACTTTTTTTAGTATATTGTATTAAGAACACTTTAGACTTGTTGTTCTCTATAATAGCTTTCAAGTCATGACTCCATTTTCTAACAGCATAATTTATGATTATCGCCCTCCTCCTCTTCCAACTACTTTCACATTTCTCACATTTTTATACAGTTCATGTTACAATCAATAATAGTACCCGTAATTTAAAGTAGTTTCAAATTCTATAAATCAGATTAGCGTTCTTCCTATTGTATGTATAGATGTTATTTGATAAGTATCTATTCCAAAAGCAATACAGGAAAAATCTTTTTCTTCCCACGCATGTAAGAAGTACGACGACTTCCTAACCAAGACAAAAGAAATGTTTCCCCCTTCAGTCTCCCAATGAGATATACAAGGTGTCTCACAACTCATGTAACTTCTGGGAAGGGGTGGTAGAGGATGTGATCCTGAATAGGATTTGCCTTTGCGAAAATAGGGTTTGAAGCTTCGTTTTTGAATTATTAAAGAAAAATACGGATCAATCAGAGCGCGGGGATTACGCGCACTGAGAAACGTGAGCCACAGCTTCGAGTCTAGCGGCTAAACGTGAACGTGATCATGCATCTTTGCCTCGAAATAGTCAAAACTTCTAATAAGAAGTCTTTACATTAAATCTCAGTTTTAAAACTGAGTTCTAAAAGTAATGTTCATTTATTCATTCTCCATGACGCACCTATTGTTTAAAAATAATCCTGTTCCAGTAAAATTGTGTTCTCGTGACTTCATCAATCTTGATTTTTCATAAAAAGACACTGCACAATCTCTGATGTCATAGCTTGGTCAGTAAACTCATTTCACTTCACTATCACTTCTAATTGTCATTTTTAACTGTGATATTCTGGTGCCACTGTTCACTAATTTCCTAACGTAATAATCACAGGTGAAGAACGCGAATGAAAACATTAGAACGATTATTTGTAAATACTTTCAGCGACTTTTTATTTCCTCTTTGCTGTTGAACACTCGACGGCCTATCTTAAATTGCCGTTCGCAACGTAACGAACATCGTTGACGGAAAATTTAGGCAACAGTCCCTTGCAACAAGGACGTATGACTTTCCAGGGAAAGTGAGAGTATGCCTTTCTTTAGGAAAAGGCGAAAATCGTTTTTATCTTTTAGAAAGGGGAAGGAACAACTGTTTTCTTCGATGCCTGCGAAGCGACTGTCCAGCGAGTAAGTCGGAGCCGTTTAATTGTGTTATGATTCCTTGACCCGACGGACCGAACGGCCGAAGACGTTGCCAGAATTCTTGCTTTCTCTAGGCTCGAAACATTCGGAGTCACAATCGACAGTTTAGGACAGAACGTTCGAAGCGAAACGTTGAAGGGAAAAAAATCACAGAAATTATTTTCGGATAATCGTTCATCCGTTTCTGCTTGTTTATCGATCGTCACTATAATAGGAAATTAGTGAAAAGTGGCAAAAAAATATTATAGTGAGAAGTGATAATAAAAAATGATAGTGAAGTGAAGTTGCGTATTATTTTTATGAATAGTTACGATCGATAGAACTATCTATTTAGGAGGATCCATTTTCAATCGAGCAGGATTATTTTTAAACAATTGTTCAGTCTTATTTTAATGGTTTATAAGTTTTATGTAAATCTAATGTTACAGAAATTTAATTTACTCGACTTCTGTTAATTACACATTACTAATTCTGTTTCTTACTCATGACAAACGAATAAGTGAACATTATTTGTATCTGTGCTATTCATTACTTAACACTTTATCTACCACTATCCTATTAATCGGCTTTTTGATTTCCAACGCTTATCGACCGCTAGCCTATTTATCGGCTTTTTCATTGCCAACGCTTATCGACCGCTAGCCTATTAATAGGCTTTTTGATTGCCAACGCTTATCGTTGCGAAAATTAGCCGGTACTGGGAGTAGATATGCGCGCGATTCAGCCGGTACTTAGTGACTGGCAGCCTCAAAAATGACCGGTCAATAAAGTGTTAATTGAGATTTGACGTAAGGTCTTCTTATTATATGTTCACACTGTCCTGGCGCATAGGCACTTGATCATGATCTCGCGTCTCAGCACACGTAATCCCCGCGCTCTGATAGTCCGTGTTTTTCCTTAATAATTCAAAAACGAAGCTTCAAACCTTATTTTTGCTAAGGGAAATCTTACTCAGAATTACGTCCTCTACCACCCCTTTCCGGGAATTACACAAGTTGTGAGACACTCTGTATATCCTTGAAAAGGACGCCCCGTTGTTAACAAACATGTTAACGCCGACATATTTTCGAGGGTCGTCAAGGGCAATTAGCCGATGCTATTTCGCTTTCGAACGATTTATGATGAGGACGGACTGCGCGAGGTCTGAACGAAAGGTTGTTTATAAGTGGCTAAGTGAAACAACAAACGATGGTTGTTGACTTGGAGACATATGGCTATCGGATATCGCAGGACTGTTTGATTGTCAGTTTATGAGATTGTAAAGAAGAAAGGCAGTTTATCGTTACATTGCTTAAATGAATAGGAACGTTGTTCCTTGAGGATCTATCTTTGCGTAAGAGAATTAATTGTGACGTCTTGGCACTTAGAGCAGAACCTAAGGCGAGAATGCATTGCGTTTAAGAAGAAAAGAAAGAATTTTTCTGATAAACAAATACAAACGAGCGTTTCGACAATGAATAATTATTTAGATAAAGATAATATAAATTACGGACATAATAAAAATTACATATATGTAGAATTTTAATTATCTAGCTCTCTTTATTTGAATAGGACAATGGGTACAATACGAATGATACAGTTAAACGCGCACACGCACAATAATCATCAAACGCGCACAGCAAAAACAATAGTTCCAAATCGTATACCGTAATCGTTAGTAATAAACGTAAGAATCGTAAGAATCGTTATAATCGTGTGTTACGAGTCGGAGGGGTCACAGCCGCGTGGCTGGGGGCTGTTTTTTGGTCAAGGTAGTGTTACTAGGCTAACTCAGGTTTGTTAATCAACCTGAGCGCCAAAGGAAAATAGACGCGGGGATGAGCCGACGTATGGCTAACGCCGGGTGCCCCAGGAGGTTGGTTATCGTGAACTAGCCGACGTATGGCTAACACCAGGGGTCACAGGATTGGTCAAGACGCGGGGATGTACCGACGTATGGCTAACGCCGGGTGCCCCAGGAAAATGATATGTGAACTAGCCGACGTATGGCTAACGCCGGGTGTCACAGGAAATGTTAGTATTTGTGCTCGTAACAAAAGATATGCCAGTATATCTCGAGCGGCTAAGATATACCGACTGGTGGGTTGGTTAGGACTTTGGTTTTAATTGACAGAGGCAAAAATTAAGTTTAAAAATAAAAGTTGAAAATATATTCTTTTCCCAAAACCGGAATTACAAGTGGTTATGTGTACTTGTCGGTTAAGGTGATTTTTACAAGAGATGTTCTTGACTTGATTTTACTTGAGTTTAAAATGTTTCGACTCCAACAAAGCGAGAATCTAATCCTGCCTAGTTTTAACGAAAAACGAGCGAAACGGGGACCCGAAAGTACTTTAGAAAAATGCCTAACAGTAAAATTCTACGTACTGTACGGTAATCAAAAGTGGCTTGAAGGGGACTCTAACCCGATCTTGCTTAAAAGTGACTTACAAGGGACCATCCCGAAGTGATAATCTCCGATTTTGATGAAACTTGGATATAATGTAGTTCTCGAAAAAATATTCGACACGTATTTTTTTTTAGCTGCTATCATTCATGTTAAGGGGTTGAAAATAGCCCTCGAAGTTGGGGGTTGAAACCATATTTTTGGGAATATCTCCGGAACTAAAGAAGATAATTGAATTCTTTTTTTTGTAAATTGTTCGTCATTAGATAGGAAATGTTTGTGCCAAAAAAAATTTAAAGAAACTTTATTTGTTTAAATAATATTTAAAAAATTTATCATTTTTGTTTAAATTTTTGCACTAAATTTTGATCTATTTTTTTGCAACTTCGTGTACGTAAACTATGGACAAAAATAGAGGATACGTGTTTTTGGAATTTGCTGTTTTTTGCAATGTTTATTAGATATATAATTTAAAGTCACCTCGTGTGAAGAGGGGTAATCAGCATTTTTATTAAAAATATCATTATTTTTACAATCCTTTACATTATTTTAGAGATTTTATACCTCTATATATGCCGTTAATTGATTTCTGAATGATTATTGTAAGCGTCGCAGGTATGAGCGTGACGCGGTTAGAATCAACGCCGAAAGGAACATAGGCATTTGTGGCCAATATTGTTAAAAAATAATTTAATTTATTTTTATTTTCTGAGTTTCTTAAAAAATCCCAATGTTTCCAAAAGTTCTAAATATTTTATTTAGAATGAAGTCTTTACGCCTGTAAAAGTATAAAAGCAGTATTGGCCATAAAAGCCTATGTTCCTTACGGCGCGGTGTTGATCATAACCGCGTCACGCTCATACCTGCAACGCTTACAATAATTATTGAGAAATCAATTAATTGCATATGAAGAGGTATAAAATGTCTAAAATATAGTAAAAGATTGTAAAAATAATGATATTTTTAATAAAAATGCTGATTACCCCTCTTCACACGAGGTGACTTTAAATTATATATCTAATAAACATTGCAACAAACAACAAATTCCAAAAACACGTATCCTCTATTTTTGTCTATAGTTTATGTACACGAAGTTGCAAAAAAATAGATCAAAATTTAGTGCAAAAATTTAAACAAAAATGATAAATTTTTTAAATATTATTTAAACAAATAAAGTTTCTTTAAATTTTTTTTGGCACAAACATTTCCTATCTAATGACGAACAATTTACAAAAAAAAGAATTCAATTATCTTCTTTAGTTCCGGAGATATTCCCAAAAATATGGTTTCAACCCCCAACTTCGA